TAATGCAAGAGAACCATGCCAGGATTGAATAAAACTATCTTTCAAAAAATCAAAAAAAAAAGATATTTGAAAAGATGAATAATGTTATTGCAGAAAAAAAAAATAACTAATCAGAATCAATTGAATTTAAAACTAAATCAGGAATTCAGCGGTGTGAATGGTATTTTTTAACAGCAAATTCAGCTGCTTTACCATTTAAGCCTTTTCGATATGTGTCCATATAGCGAAATGCTTTTCTTGCATATTGACGAATAGTTAGGAGTGGAACAGAATTAAGAGCTAATAGGACAGTTTTTTGCAGTCCTTTCTATAAATAATCACAATGTGATCAGCTATATTTTTTTGCCGCACCCCAAAAGGTCTCAATGTAATTTAGTTCGCAGTGGAATTTGGGATAGAAAATAATTTGATGCCCAGCCGCAATGATGATTTCTTCCAACTGTCCTTTTTGGGCTAGAAAGTCTGGTTGTTGACTTATTAATTCTCGTACTTCTTTTAACCTTAATCCTTCTTCTGGCCACAACCCTCTCTTCTTTAGAACTTCTTTTAATCCTTTAGCTTTACCACGTAATTCAGAGATATAATAGTCTGATAGAAAGACCATATCTTGGTCATATTTTCTTCCCTTATGAAAGTATGATGTGCTGTGTAATTTCTCTTGTTTTCCAGCAGGGCCAAGGTTCATATGGTTAGCAATAAGTGCATTACGTGAAAAAGCAGAATGACTTGTTGCATTGTCAAATGCAAACAAGGCTTGGCAGCCTGAAAATTAGTGTTACAAATTGGAAGTCAAAAAAATGATTAGTTGATTAGTTAACAACTAATTGATTGAATTTTTTAAATACTAACTAATCGATTAATCGATTAGTTAGTATCTAAAAAATTCAATCGATTAGTTGCCAACTAATTGTTGACTAAAAAAATAAAAATTTGCCAACTTGTAACACTACCTGGAAAGCGTGCTTCAAATATGGAAATGGCATGGTTAGTTACTTGATTAATCAAATCCTCAGCCTTCCACCATCCATCGTTATTTTTGCCAGGGTATGTAATAACACAAGCTTCTCTAGGAAACTTATCTGATGGTTGCATTTTATCAGGAAGCACAAGTCGACCACAAATATCAGTTAAGAACTCGCTAACATGAATTGAACGACCCTCTCCCTTTTTTTGTAAAGGTTGTTCACCATAAGGAATCCAAAGACTCCGACTTCTATTATAAGCCGAAAAAATGCATTCATCATGTGTAACAAGAATAAGTGGTTTTATATTGCTGTCTGGCCAAGTTTCTACTTCCATATTATCACCTGAAAATATAGGCATTCTATGCTCAAATTCACTCATTCATTTCAAAAATATACTCCG